CAGCTCTCATACTGACTCGCTAAGTGACCGGGACAAGGGCCTCGGTCTCCCCACCTGTAGAAGGGACCTTCCCAAGTCTGAGAGTTCCAGGCCCAGGACTGGCTCCAGTCGGAGCTGAGAGGGCTTGGGGAGAGCCTCTCCGGGTCCCTCAGGCTGCCACATGCAGGGGACCCATCTCTGGCCTTTCGAGTGTGACGGCCGCCTAGTGGCCAGTGGCTGTCACTGCAGCCCGCTTGGGCCAGGTGGGGAGGAGGGCCTCTGGTCAGCCTGCAGAGAGAGTGGGGCAGCATGGCGTCTGGCCAGTGGCATCCAGATGACTTAGTCAAGTGTTGAGCTGCTAGGCCCTATTAATAATAAGAAACCACTGGATGCCTTCCCAATTGGGCATGGTGAGGTTGGCAGAACACCAGCAGATTGTGCAGGTTCTGGAGTCGATGTCTGTTACAATTCCCATTTTACAGATGGGAGAACTGAGGCACATAAGCGGCAAGAGACCTGCCTAAGGTTGCCCAGTCAGGCAGCAGCCAAAGGACAACTCCACCCCGAGTCTCCTGATTGTACATGCAGCCCTCTCCATCCTTGTCTCCCCTAAACCATCACCAAAGGCTCTGAGAAGGAGCCGGAAGGATGAAATGAATCACTCCCCCTTCCCTGGGCCAGCCTGGCTCTGCACGACTCCCAGGGCCCCAGGCTGGCCATCCAGCCCGTCCCCCCTCCAGCTTCCCTTTCCTGTCTCAGGCCTGACCACGCCTCGACAGGTGGCCTTCACTCCATTAGCCCAACATGCTGTACTCACTGTGCTTCCTGCCCTCCCCCTGCCATTGTCCTGGGGGTAAGAGACCATCTGGACACAGAAAGAGAAAGATACGAGATCATCGAGGAGAGATCAGTACCCTCTGGAGGAATCAGGGAAGGCTTTCTGGGGGAGTCGGCATGTGAACTTAGCTTGAAGACAGAAGATGCAGAAGTCCATTCTAGGCATGTGAGTGCATGAATGGTGGAAATGGGAGCTCAGGTTCAGAGAACGGCTTCAAACCCCAGTTTGGCTAAAAACAGGGTCCCCAAAAGGCAGCAACATGAAATCAGCCTGGAAAGGTAAGCAGGAGCCTTGTAGTGTGAAGAAGCATTTGCATTTTATCCTATAAGAAATAAATAGGGCATCGCCAATGATTCTTGAGTGTGGTCATATCTATGTTTTAAGAATATTAATTTTGCAACTTGTGAAGGATGGGAGGGAAGGGGAGGAGACACAAGCATATATCTAGCACCTACTGCATGCTGGGCACTGTGCTAGATGCTTTACAACATGATCATATGAAGATGAGTCGAAAGGGCCATGCATGTTGAGCCTGGAGAAGGAGCCGGGGCACATGAAAACTGGCATCCAGTGGGTGGAGGGCCGCCCTGGGGAGGAGGGGTCAGGCTGCTCCAAGTGCTGGAAGGAAGTTCTGCAGAGGCAGATTGAAGCCAGGGGGCCAGAAAGAGTGTCCTCCCCTAGTGGAAGGGGCTGCCCCGAGGAGGCACAGGGTTCCTGAAGGTGGAGGTGAAGGGGATGGGGGGAGGGGTTGGAGAAGGCTCTTCTAAGAGTCCTCCTGACTCCAAGATGTAGAGATTCTGTGAGAAGATGAGGCCCAATCCAAGGAGAACGGGAAGGGAAAGCAGCCTGGCAGCCCCCCCTCCCCCCCAACCTGCTTCTCCTACACCTTTCCGCCTGGTCGACAAGGCGAGAGATGGGGTCCAGGAGCTCGCCCTGTTGGGCACTTCCCAAGAAGCCTAGGGTGGGTCAGGGCGGGAGTGGGGGGCACTTCTGGCTGGCCCCAAAGCCTTATTAGCTCCTGGTTCCTGGTTTTGAAGTCTAGACTCATGACTGCATTGATGGAGGGTGGGATGGGGTAATGGTTTTGTAACTGAGAGTAGCCCCCACCTGGGGCAGGGTGACTCAGTGGTGAGAGCTTTGGCTCTGGAGCTTGCAACCCTGGGTTCCCTTACTCCTTGGGTGGCCCCTCTCTGGGTCTTAGTTTCCTCATCTGTAATTTTCTTATTGGCTTGAAGAACCATGAATCTATGGGCACCTGGGGAGGTAAGATCTCAAGGGACTTGGCTAAGACCATACACCTGCTGGTCAGAGGTGGGACCAGAGTACCATCTCCCTGCATCTGAAGCTGATCCTCTACTGTCTCTAGCAATATGGTCTAGCATTTGGCCAAGAGTTCCCCCTTTTAAAAAGACAGGGCTATTTTGCCTTTCTCTGATCCGATAGCACCTCCTCCATTCTCCACCAGCTTCCCAAGGCTGGTGATAGTGTCTGGCTCTCCCAGGAGCTCCAAGGGATGTGGACTTGTGCATGCTCTGAGGTCACCTCATGCAATGGAGAGAGTTCTGGACTCAGAGACACTGGAAGGACCCGGGTCCACATCCTACCTCGGGATGCATCCCTTCCTTTCTCTGGGCCTCAGTTTCCTTCTCTGCAAAATGAAGGCATTGGTTCAGATGACCCATCGGGTCTCATCCAGCTCCCTCCCCAGGGCACCTCTTTGTCTCTTCCAGTCCAGGATCATTCTCCCTGGCAGAGAAAGCACAAGCTCATCCCACGTATGGAGCAGCCAGTGCGCCTCTTCCCTTCCTTTGGCTTCTGCCCTCCATTACCTCCCCAGGGTAGGGAGTGGGTAGAAACAGTGCTTTGTGTTGGACTCCTGAGCCCCTCCCTTCAGGGCTCTGCCTCCATGACAGATCTTGGTTCTTTTCTGTTCCGTCCAGCCGTGTCCGACTCTGTGACCCCATTTGGGGTTTTCTTGGCAGATATATTGGAGTGGTTTGTCTTTTCCTTCTCCAGCTCATTTTAGAGATGAGGAAACTGAGGCAGGGTCACACAGCTGAGAAGAGTTTAAGGCTGGATTTGAACTCAGGAAGATGAGTCTTCCTGGCTTCAGGCCCAACACTCTATCCACTGCAGCGCCCCCTAGCTGCCCCCTTCTCTTCTGTATGCCTTCCCCAAATCTAACATGTCTGGTAAACTACCTGTGCGTCCCTTCTGGTCTCTTCAAACAATTTCCCTTCTTTCCTCACTGGTATTCTCCTGGCATCTCCAGACTTTGCTTTTTTTTTTTTTTTAAGCAATTGGGGTTAAGTGACTTGCCCAGGGTCACACAGCTAGTAAGTGTGTCAAGTGCTTGGTCTGAGGCCGGATTTGAACTCAGGTCCTCCTGACTTCAGGGCCAGCACTCTATCCACTGTGCCACCTAGCTGCCCCAGACTTTCCTTCTTGAGAGCCTCCTGTCCCTTTTGGGCTGAGCTCCTCAGGAGACGCCGGTGCATTCTAAGCGTGTGCCAGACTGCTGTCCGTCCAATGGAAAGGTGGTCACTCCCCCCAGGGTCCCATCGCTTCCTCCAAGTCCTCCTCATCTGTGAGAATCTGATCCAGAATTACATCGTCTGTTCCAAGGTGGCTGGTTTCTCTCCCTTTCGAAGACAGAAGCCGATCAAGCAATAGTTAACTTCAGTTTGGGGACAGGGGGCGGGGCCTGGGCATGCCCCTCCCCCTCTGCCCCAGCCTGTGAGACTTCTGTTCCTCACAGCTTGGGGGAGCCCGAGAGCTTCCCAGGAGAGCTTCTCAGAGGAGTGGATGGATGTGGTTTGTGTGTTGTGGGGAGGAGGAAAAGCCCCTAGAGGCAGCTGCCTGGCAAAATGGACAGAGCACTAGACCTAGTGTCAGGAAGAACTGAGTTCGAATGTGGCCTCAGACTCTCACTATCTGTGTGATTCAGGGCAAGTCACTTAACCTCTGACTGCCTCAGTTTCCTCAACTGTAAAATGAAGATAGTAATAACACCTTCCCCCCCAGGGTTGTTGTGAGATACTTTTGTAATGAGATAATGTTTGTAAAGTGCTTAGCATAAGACACTGTCAGGCACATAGAAGGCACTTAAAAAATGTTTGTTTCCTTCCTTTCCTTCTTACCAGATCCAAAAAAGGAGAAATAATAGCGAGCCCCTAGGGGAAGACTTTTGGCTAGATGATCTGGGCCCTTTGGGACATAGGGATCATCAATGAATGGGGTGTGTGTGTGTGTGTGTCTGTGTGTGTGTGTGTGTGTGTGTGTAGCTGCTGGCTGGTTCCTCTGAAGCTCAAGCCCCCTGGAATAATTTCTCTAATAAAGGTGGAGAGGCCTGCCTTTATTTTCATCGAGTTTCATTCTTACTGACAATAAGGTACCTTGTATTTTGTGCCCCGAGGGTCCCTGCTACTCACCTGATGCATTACTGAGAGGGGACTTGGCTTGGGCCTCTGTCTTTCTGCTGGAGAGACAGTGACCCAGGGATTGAGAGGAGTACCTGAAATTTCTGAACAGAGTCTAGGGAGGAGCAGGTAAGGAGGAGTCACTATAGCACCCTTAGAGCTCAGACCCTCCCTGAGGAGCGGCCAGGCTGTGGGGCTGTGGCCACAGTTCTCCCTCCTCCCCTCCTCCACCATAGATTGAAAGCACTCTGTGAAGCAGAACCTCACCTGTGTCACAGGTGAACCCAGGCCCTTTGTTCACGGCAGGCACCAAATAAATGTTGGTTAAGTGAATGAATGAAGAATGAAAGGGAAAAGAACAGAGTTGGCCCCAGGGTCTGTCCTCAAGGGGACTTTTTGTTAAGTCCTCCCTGGCCCAGAGGCAGCCTCTGACCTCTTGCGGAGATGCTCCACCTGCCCTGAGCTCCAACAGCATAAGTCCCCAGGCGTGCCAGGCACAGAGCAGCTTAGTGAACTGGGAGAAAGAGCTAGATCGTTTCCCGAAGAGCCGGATCCTGGAGACACCGAGGTGGAGCTGGAGGCTTTGGCTGTCCTCGGCCACAAGGGGCACTAGACCCCACGTTGGTGTGGCCCTTGGCGCAGCATTCGGTCCAGGAGTCTGAAGAGTGGTGATGCCCAGGGCCTGGAGGTCGTCCTCTTCCCTCCCCGCCCCCACTCCCTCGCGAACACGCACACACATTCACAGCCACACGGGAGCCGCCGGCTGATATCTTCACTGAATGAATTTATTGGTTCTGAACGGAAGTTGCTCACAGTTAGTTATCTGACAAGGAATACATCAGATGGAGATTTTGTCCATTTTCCAGCGTGTGTGTGTGTGTGTGTGTGTGTGTGTGTGTGTGTGAGAGAGAGAGAGAGAGAGAGAGAGAGAGAGAGAGAGAGAGAGTTTATACATTGTGTTCCAAGTACAAAATCGGAAGGAAGGAAGGCTAACAAGTGGTATTGCTTTTGGTAATCCTCATGTCTTTGTGTATGAAGGAGCCCCGCCCTGCTTGTACTGCCTTTGGGCTTTGCCCGACTCTTCCTCTGTATTGAAATCCCAGCCTTTTGTTGAGGTGCCATAAACCTATACAGAAGGGGGGGAGGGCATCGAGGGGAGGCAGGAAAGACATCAAAAGCAAAATGGACTAATTACAGTAAAGGCATGCAATTAACAACTGCCCCTGTCCTCGGCCACCTGCCTGCCCGCCAACCAGCCCTCAGCACCATGCCCTGCCCAGCCCTTCCCTTCCCAGCCCAGCCCTCAGCAGTAACCTGCAGCCAGGCTAGACACTCACGGAGCAATATGAGCGTGAGTCTGGGAGCGGCGACGCAAGGTAGGAAGCAAAGGCCAACGGCAAGGAGGCAGGGCAGAGGAGGGCAGGGGGACCCAGTCCAAATTGGGGAGGGGATCAAGAGGCCTGCCCCACCCTGCCCCACCCTCCTCGGCATTATGTACCGAGAACGCAGAATAGAAGAGAAGAGTTGTGACTTGGTTCTGGTTTTTGTCCTGAAGCGCTGAAGCGGACAGTTCTGAGCGCTGGCTTAGTGGCTCCTAGCGGCTCATGTCTTGCCCTTCCCTGGCCAGCCTGGCCTGGGCCCAGATAAAGTCACTCTTGGCCCGGGCTTCCAGGCCACGCAGAGCGGAGCCACGTTCCACCGCGAGGGAAACTGCCCCCGGGCTGCCCCACCCCCAAAGAAATAGGACTTGGTGTTCCCTCTCCACGGTACGAAAACAGAAGAGCTCTCTAATGGCGTCGTTTTTTATTTTGTGTGTGTGTGTGTGTGTGTGTGTGTGTGTGTGTGTGTGTGTGTGTGTGTGTGTGTGTGTGTGTGTGTGTGTGTGTAGAAATAACCAAGAGCTAATAACGGAAACACAAAGTCCAGCCCACCCCGCCCCGCCCCACAGCGCCAGGCCCCGCCCCGCCCCCAACCCTTTTCCAAAAACAACCAAGGAAAAAAGGTTTATAAAAATATCTTGCAGGAATTCTTTTAAAGTTTACAGTAGCTTTGTGTTGCCCTGGCCCTGCCTCCACTCTGATCTGCTGAGAGCCATTGTCTGCGGAGCCCCCAGCAGCCCAGGCCTCGACCCGCGGCCAAACCCCGTACAGACAGACACCAAGACAGACAAGCAGACAGACTGAGAACACTGCCTCTTCCCTGAAGAGAGAACCAAAGAAATCACGTAAATGAAAACAGCAAGGGATTAATACTGATCTCAGTACAGCACCAGCAGCCTCCAAGCGGGCTCTCTCCCTCCCCTGGGGAGCAGAAGGCTGGGGGTGGGGCGGGGCGGGGCCGGGGCAGGGGGACAGTCCAGCTGGGCGGCACGACACGCCCCGCTTCTGGCTCCTCCGCTCCAGGACGTTCTGGGCCAGGCCAGCCTGGGCTCGGGGTGCAGCCGCTGTCCTTGCTCTGGTGCCTCGCGCTTCCCCCTTTCCCTCCACAGCGGCCAGGATGGTCTCTCTGAAGCCAATACAACCTCAAGGCCCCCCAGTGAAACCAATGAACCGAAAAACAATGCAAAGAAAGAAGAGAGACTGAGAGAGAGAGGAAGGCAGAGATGGGGAGACGGAGAGGCTGGTGGAGATGCAAGTGGAGACAGGACAGAAGAACAGAGAGGAAAGGACAAGGGCCTTGGGGTGACCGAGGTATCACTAACGCTGCTCCTTGGGGGTGTTGGCTTCCACCCTCAGGTGAGGGGTGGGGCTGCCCCACTGCTGGCGTAGGGCTGACCTCCCGGCATCTAGAGGCCACCCATAGCTATCCTCAGGCAGGCAGGCGGGAGACCGGTGGCTGTGCTGATCCCTCCCTAGAGAAGAGGTGTTGGGGTCCTTCAGTGGGCCTCACTGAGCTGAGCTCCACCAGCCCCACAGGCCGTGGCTCGAGGCAGGAGGGGGGACCCAGGGAGGATCAGGAGGAGAAGGGACTGGATCCGAAGCAGCTGCCTTCCATCCATAAGAGTCCTCCAAGCACAGAAGGTGTCGGGCGGCAGGTGGCGGTGGTGACATGTTAACTTTTCGGGATAATTCCTGGTATCAGAGTGGAAACAAGCCACGGCATGAGAGAGAGAGAGAGAGAGGAGAGAGAGAGAGAGAGAGAGAGAGAGAGAGAGAGAGAGAGAGAGAGAGAGACAGAGACAGAGAGAGACAGAGACAGAGAGACAGAGAGATGGTGAGAGAGAAACAGAGATAGACAGAGACACACACACAGAGAAGACAGAAGAGACACAGAGGAGAGGAGAAAGCAGAGAGAGAAAAGAGAAGAGAGAGGCAGAGACAGACACAGACAGAGAAAGAGAGACAGAGACACACAGAGAGACAGAGAGAGAGAAAGGAAGGAAAGACAGGAGACAGAGGAGAGGAGAAAGAGCAGAGAGAGAGGAGAGTGACAGAGAGACAGAGACAGACAGAGACAGAGACACACACACAGAGACAGAGATGGTGAGAAGTAGAAAGACAGAAACAGAGAGACAGAGACAGACACACACAGATAGAGGGAGAGACAGAGACACATACACAGAGAAACAGAGATAGAGAGAAAGGAAGGAAAGACAGAGGAGACAGAGAGAAGAGACAGAGGAGAGGAGAAAGAGCAGAGAGAAAGGAAAGAGAGACAGGAGACAGAGACAGAGGAAGAGCGAGCACTCAGAGTGAGCCAAGACCAAAGCAGGATCTGCGGAAGGTCTGCAGCCCCCGCTAGGAGAGAGTGCAGAGAAGTGGTGATGGGAGGAGGGAGGGGAGGACTAGATGCCCAAGCCAGAGCCCGCCATCCTCAGCCAGTGCTTTGCGTCATCTGTGCTGCCCATGCTGTGTGTCTGTCTGTCTGTCTGTGCTGCCTGCCTGTCTGTCTGTCAGCGGGCCTGCCTGTTCCCCTGCCTGGGTGTCCAGAGCATAGCGCAACTATAAATCTATATGTATGTATGTATATTTTATATATATATAGAATATCTATATGGTCGTATACATATACACAGTCCTTCCTCCAGGCAACCCGAGCTCCTCAGCTGCCCTGGCAGCAGTGCCAGCCTGCTCTGTCCGTCCCGCCAGCAGCCAGGCCAGCTCTCTACGGAGGCCTCAGGTCTTGCTTGCGGTGTTAGCGCTGTGCTTAGGGATAGGGGCAGCTCTACTCGGGATGGGCGGGCGTTATGTGTCTCTAGGGTTGCTCTTGGGTGGCAGCTGGTGCGGCCGACTTTGCCTTGTCTCTGCCGCCTGGATACTTGGCGGCAGGCGCCTCGGCCTCTCTCCGCTGGCTGTGGGCGCTAGACTTGGTTGGCGTGCCGGGGGGGTGGGCCACCTGCCCATTCTTCTCGTCTGAAAAAAGTTGTTTAATTACGTCAAAGAAGCTACTCAATGGGCTGCCTGGGTACACAGAACAGAAGACAAAAAAAAAGAGAGAGAACGAGAGGGAGAGATAGAGGAAGGGAGGGAAGGAGAGAGACAGAGAGAGAGAGAGAGAGAGAGAGAGAGAGAGAGAGAGAGAGAGAGAGAGAGAGAGAGAGAAAACAAACAAACGAATGAACATGGGCCTTTACGGGAAGGGAAGAAAAACAAGTGTGATGACAGACCCAAAGCCAGGGGTGCCAGGGATGCCAGGGGTGCCAGAGTGCCAGAGCTCTTAGAGACAAAGGGAGGCCAGCAAGCAAGGAGGGGAGGGGAGGGCTCAGCCCACAGGGCCTTCCAGATCCTACCAAGGCCGGGAGGCCCTAACGAGGCTGCCAGATGAGGACCCCAGAAGCTCCTGCCACCTCTGCCTGCCTGCCTACCTGCCACAGATGAGGGCACTGCCCAGCAACAGTGACTAGCTAGGGGAAAGGTAAGGTGGAGGATGCTAGCTGCTCTAGGGAGGCCTGGGGCTGGGGGAGAAACCATCCAGGTCTTTGGCCAGAAGGACCAGGAAGGAGGTTCAAGCCCAGGCCCTGCCTGCCTGGGGTCTCCAAGGCTCAGACTTTCAAACCCAAAGTCATGCTTGGCATCTAGGTGGGCTCGGATGGGGGAAGAGGAGGAGAGGGGCAGTGAAGGGGGAGCTGGTTCCCTGGCTGCTGAGAATGTCTACTTTCCCCATCGGGAGCTCCTGCTTTCAGAAAAGTATCTATAGGCAGACCTGATGGCATTCCCATTTCACAGATAAGGAAACCAAGGTTTGCCGGTGGGGAAGAGTGCTAAAGTCACTTGCTGATAACCGCGGGATGGAGTTGATGGCGGAGCATGGCATTCCTCTGGGCTGCCCATCCTGCCTGGAGGCCCTGGGACCCCTGCCTAGGTGGAGGTATTGGGGCATCCAGTGATGTTGTGGAGGCATGGCAAGGAGTCCTGCTCTGATCCTCTTCTGGGAGCCCTAGCCTTGTGCCCGCTTCTCTCTGGCAAGCCCCTTCCTCAAAGCCTGCCTCAGCCTCGCCGAGCCCCAGCCCCATCCGCTCTGGTATCTTCTTATAAAATAAAGGGCAGAGCCCCTTGCTCTACTCCAGAAGGAAAACCCCCTTTGTCTCCTTAGATTGGGGCACTCCCTAGGGCAGCCCCAGCTGGAATACTTCCTCCACTCTGTGCCATCTGGCAGGTGGGTGGCTTTGGACATGTCGCCTCGGTGCCAATGGATGCAGCAGACATAAAGAAGAGCAGAGGGTGGGGAGGGGAAATGGGGACAGATGAACGAGCCAAGAAGGGCAGGGATGGTGACCCACAGGAGCCCCAAGCAGAGGCCAGAGAGGGCAGGCCACAGCTCCCACCTCACCCCTCAGGCTGGCCTCTAAGGACTCATGCCCTGGAAGCCCGAGCTCTGAGCCAGGAGGGGAAGGTTCCAGGTCTCCATGGAGACTCTTTGTAACTTTGCTTTCTGGGACCCCAGCCCTGCCTCTCCCTGGAGACCCAGGACTGACCCCAGCCCCCCACCTGTCTCTCCATGGTCTGTCTCTCCCTCCCTGCCTGCCTTTGCCATGAGTTTGAATCTGGGCCTGTCAGCACAAGAGTGAAGTGCAGTGAAGGGAGCTCCCACTGAGACGGCACGTGCCAGAGCCCCTTGGAGTTGATCGATTGACTCCTGGAGAACAGGGCTTGGGTTTGGGCCCCTTGGGATCAGCACATGGTTAGGGGAAGCAGAGGCTCAGCCTGCTGCCACCAGCTTCTTCCTGTCCCCACCACCCCCAGACTGGACAGCTGGGGGGCCCAGGCAAGAAGCCCTGCTCTGGGCCTTGAAGGCAGCACCAAGCCCAGATGCTGCTGCTGCTGCTCAAAGTCCCCTTGGCCTCCTGTCCTGGGCTGGGCCTGGGGCAGGATGGACAGGGACAGAATGGGCACTCTCGGGAGGAAGTGAGCCCTGAAGGGCAAAGCCCCTGGGAAGACCCCAGGATTATCATGAAGGACTGTCCTGCTTTCTCATCTGAGACTTCTCTCTTCCTGACTATCCATGGTCCCCCTCTGGTCTCAGGGCCCTGTCACTGAGGACTCTGGGAGGCCACAGAGACCCAGGGCACTAGAAGGCTGTGTGTGTCTGTGTGTGTCTGGGAGAACACCGAGCAGTATGTGTGTGTGCATGTATGTGTCTGGGAGAACACCTAGGAGTATATGTGCATGTGCACGTGCGTGTGCGTGTGCATGTGTGTGCATGTATGTGTCTGTGTGTGTCCGGGAGAACACCTAGGAGTGTATGTGCATGTGCACATGTATGTGTGCACATGCACACGTGTGTGTGTGTGTGTGTGTGTGTGTCTGTGTGTGTGTGTCTGTGTGTGTGTGTGAGAGAGATATGGGCTGGGGGGGTGGTATGGAGAGGAAGGCAGGGAGGAGAAAACATTCTCAGATTTGCACCTGGGGATTTGGGCTCCATTGATGCCCATCCTCAGGAGAGTGGAGTGAGTACCCAGAGAGAGCCCAGGGGAGCAAGCTGGGGGGCTGCTGCTTGCCTGGGAAAGGGCATGTCACCTCTCAAAGCTTCCACATCTGTAGGGGAGGGACAGAAAGCAGCAGGGACCCCCAGCGCAGGAGTGCTGGGGGGGGCCAGGATTGTGGGCCAGGGTGTGTGCCTGGAGAGCAGCTGTGGGCTGGGCCGGGAGGGTGTGGACTCGGGGGACAGGAGGGCCGTGAGGGCAGAGGGAGGGGGGAAGGCAGGAGGGAAATTCTTACCACATTTGGAAAGCCTCCCCGTCATCAATTCCATACAGTTAGTGGTGTCTGGAGCACAGAACGGAGAGAGGAGGGGGGAGAAATGTAAAAGTGGGTTCCTGCCGGGCCCTCGGCCCTCGGCATCCACTGGGTAGCCCCTCTGGGCCTTCCCTGTGCTCTGGGAAGGTGGTGGCTGTGGCTGCTCCTGCCCACATCTCCCCATTTCCAAGAGCCATTTGGGTCTGCCTAGAGGAGGGAAGGTGGCATGGGGCCAGACTCCTCGGACCCCCTGCCCCACCCAAATCTGGTCAAGTCAAAGATGAGTAGCTGGGCTTTATCTGACCTACTATGTGCCAGGCACTAGGCTGAGGGCTTTACAAATATCTCATCCAACCCTCACAGCAATCCTGCTAGGCAGTTGCTATATCATCACCCCCATTTTACAGATGGGGAAATAGACGCAAACCAAGTCAAAGGGACAGCAAGCAAGTAAGTATCTGAGGCCAGGTTTGAACTCAGTTCTTTCTGACTCCAAGCCCAGGTGTGCCACCTGGCTTCCTGAATTCCAATCTGGCCTCAGACACTTCCTAGCTGCATGACCTTGGGCAAGTCACTTGGCCTCTGCTTGCTTCAATTTCCTTATCTGTTAAATGGAGAAAATAATTGCACTTATGTCCCGGGGGCTGGCTGTTAGGTTGTGGGCTCCCTGGGGCAGAACCAAAGCTTTCTATGTATCACAGGGCCCCGTTCTGCATGGGGAGGAAGGTCAGCGTAGACGTGGCTGATTGATCTCAGCAATGTGCTGCTCTCAGCTGTGGCCTGTCTCAGCGCTGTCCACCATGGGCACCCAAATGGGTCTGCAAAGTGGGGATGCTGATAGACACGTGGATGTCTGGTCTGAGAGTCTGCAGCTGGTGACCAACTGAGAGCCCAGGAATGCTGTGTCCCAAATGGGGAACCAAGAGTGCTCCAGGCTGGTGTCTTTGGAGAGTCTGAGACCAAGACAAGTGTGCCTGCTTGGGGTGGGGAGGAACATTGGGTCCCTTCACACTCAGAATGGAACTGTGGCTGGAAATTTAAATTTCTTTCTCTCTCTTCTCTCCCCTTTCTCTTCCTCTCTCTCTCTCTCTCTCTCTCTCTCTCTCTCTCTCTCTCTCTCTCTCTCTCTCTCTCTCTCCCCGTCTCTGTCTTCCTCCTCTCTTCCTCCTTTCTTCTCCTTCCTCTTTTCTCCTCTCTTCTCTCCTCGTATTCTCTTTTTCTGCTCTCTTCTCTTTTATTCTCTTCACTCTCTTTCTGTCCTCTTTCCTCCTCCTCATCTGTCTCTTCTCCCCATCTCTCCTCCCTCTCTCTTTCCTCTCTCTCCCTGTCTCTCCTCTCTCCTCTCCCCTCTCCTTTTCTCTCCTCCCTTCTCTATTCTTCCCTCCTGTCTCTCTCCTTCCCCTCTGTCTTCCCCCTCTCCCCTCTCTCCTCACTCCCTCTCCCCTCTCTCCTCACTCCCTCTCCTACCTTCTCTTTCCCTCTCTTCTTCCTCTCTCTTTCCTCTTCTTTCTTCCCCTCTCCTTACCTTCTCTCTTCCTCTCTTCTCCTCCTCTTCTCTCTTCCCCCTCTTTGTCTCTCTCTTTCTCATCCTCTTATTCCCTCTCCCTTCCCCATTATCTTTCTCCATCTTCTCCCTTAATGGCCAGTTCTAGTGGCCTTTTCTCCCTCCTTACCTTTCCTGATCTCCCCGCAGCCTTTGAAATGGTTGACCACCCCCTTCCCTCAGATTCTCTCTCCTCTCTGAGCATTTGTAACACTCCTCCTCTCTTCCTCTCTCTTGGCTTTTCTTTGCTTTGTCTTCATGTGTCTAACTGCCTCTTCTCAGTCTCCTGTTAGGTCCTGTTTGTTCTGTGTGGGTTCTGTCCTGAGCCTCCTTCTCTTTTCTCTCCCTTGGTGACTCCCATGGGTTCAATAATCATCTCCCGACCTCCAGATCTGCATCACCACTTGTCCCTTGGGTGTCTTGGATGGGATGTCTCAGAGGCATTTCAGACTTGACATGTCCAAAACTGGACTCATTCTCCTCCTCCCCTCCCCTGCCCCAGACTTCCCTATGACTGTTCGGTGTGCCCAGGTCCCTTTAGTCCCCTCGGCTCCCAGCCTGTGTCATCTCGGATTCCTCACTCACCTCTAGCTGCCAGGTCTTGCCAATGCTGCCTCCACAGCACGCCTCTCCCTCAAGCCCTTGTCACTTAGCCTTTCCAGAATTCTGACACATTTCTCTCCCTGCATTTCACAAACCAGTTCTTGAGCAGCAGGATGCCCTGTTTCCCATCACCATATCTTTGCCCTGGCTATTCCCCCTGCTTGGAATGCTTCCACTCCTCCATTCCCCAGTTGCTAAGAGCCTTCCTTCCCAAACTCCCTTGTGGTCATTTTGTATATATTCTGTATCTACTGATAGTTGTCCCCCACTACAGTATATGTTCCTTGAGGGCAAGGACTGTTCTTTTCTCCTTCCTCCCCACAATGGCCGAATCAATATTCCTAAGTCACACATCTGGCCAAGTCACTCTCTGGGGCAGGGGCTTACAAAGCTCCCTAATGCCTCCCTCCAACATCAAGGGCAAAATCATTGTCAGTTAAAGCAAGCTCCTTCACGCACCATCCACCACAGCCATGCTGGCCTCCTTGCCATGGAGGTTAAAGCCTGACCGACCTCTCCAGACTGACTTCACGTGGCGCTCCCTCACACACCATCCATCATGGCCATGCTGGCCTCCTTGCCACAGTCCACATGTGGCTTGGATGTCCATTACACCTAGAATGCTTTCCGTTCTCAGCTCCCTAAATTCTGCCAAGATTCAGCTCCAGGGCCGCAAGAGGTTACTCCTGATTCCTGCCCCGGGACACCTTTGTCTGGCTCCCCTGCTATTACTTCATATTGATTTTGGATATATTTTACTGAATTTTTTGTATATGCATTCCTTCCCTCTGGTGAGATGCAGCCTCCCTTCAGGCAGCTGCTGGCGTAGTGCCTGGCACACAGGCAGTGGGAATCACCACCTTTAAAGGGGCCAACCTGTAGGTGCCCAGAGGAAGCAGCTCCCAGATGCTCAGGGATGGTATGTCCTGAGCCTACCTGTTGGGCGTCCTTCCCTTGCTGAGAGTGAAGGGGACAACACCCAGGTGCCAGGAGCTCTGAGCAAGGACCACCCCCCACCCCCAGAACTGACTAAGAGTCTCTGAAGGAGGAACTTTGCTTAGAAGAAAAGGTCCCCCACCTCCAAGAACCTCAGAGCAAAGAGATCTATTCCTCCAAGGAAATTTGGCTGTTTCCTTCATGCATGGGGGCGATGTGGAGGCTGATCAGGAGGCCACAGGCAAAGGAGCCTCTGCCCTGTGGAGATGGAGATGCTTGGGGGCTGGGTGGAGCCAAGCCCATCAGACCCTTGCCTGGGGCTCTGGCCCCAAATCTGAGGCAGTGGAGAGTTGGGGGAGCCCTTCACTTCAGCTGTCAAGCTGTTCTAGGGTCGAGACTGACTCAGCCCAAATAGAGAGGAGTCTTGAATGGCCTGACTCTGGGAGCTGGAGCTGAGGCCTCAGTGGACTGATCACAACCTTCCTCAGAGGGAGGGCCCTCCAGCTCAGGGAGCTCGTGAGCTACAGGAAAATGTCTCCTGCTCTTCTCGCTCCTTCCAGGCCAAACTCAAGCCCTTGGTAGAGAAAGGAGAAGCTGCTGGGTGCTGACCAGGAGAGACAGTGTGGTACAGTGGGAGGTGGGTGGATCTGAGCTGCTTGAATAGCCTCAGGCCAATCACTTCTCCCCTGCCTTGGGCTCTATTTCATCATCTATACAATGGCAGGTTGGTCCTCTAAGCTATGTAGTGTGAGTCACACCAAATGACAAGACTGGGTTCTCTGGATGACAGCTGAAGTCCTAGAATGATGCGCTCCTGGCAAAGGGCAGATTGAATCTCAGAGCTGAGAGACTCATGAATCTGAACAAGAGAGAAATCTGTCCCAACAGCTCTAAGACTGGATGACACAGAGGACATCTGCTGTGTGAGAGCAGGGGAGGGGGTGCCCAGTGAGCCATAGGAGGAGGGGTTAGGGAAGGGTGGAGGAGCTTGGGAGCAGCCAAATGAACCTGAAGCTTGAACATGGGGAGCCAAAAGCCAAAGCACTGTGCTGAGTGCTGGGGTGAGAAACATGGTTAGAACACAGAGGTGTCAGCACTTGTTCAAAGATAAAAGCGGTGCTAAGAGGGTGATGGGGTCTCACAGTCAGTTGAGAAGATGTCCATCTGTTTGCACATCCCTGTACCTGAGAGAGACTATGGTAGAGACTGTTTGGGTGAGCATACCTGGAAAGGGAGTCAGAAATGACAAGACCTATGGAGCAGATGGAGACTATGGATGATGCTTCTCTAGCACCAGGGCCCAAACTGGCCCAAGTGATAAACACAGTAGTGTGGGATCATGTTAACTATTGAGATGATAGCACCATTGTTGTCACTTCACTGACAGGTCATTCTTCATTGATGAAGGCATCTGCTACTCTGGCCTCAGTTCTGACCAAGAAAGGTCAGGAGAACAAAGTTCCCACCTCATCTAGAGAGTTCCTAATAAACAACAAGGGGAGGGGGAAATTGAGCACAATTGGGTTTGGATTCTATAATTCAGGAAAGCAGATTTCAAAGAGTTCAGAGATCCCATGGTAAGAGGCTTTAAAGAGGAACAGAGAAGGCTCTCAGAAGCACAATTCCAACAATGTGAGTGCAGATGATCTCAATAAGAAAGTAGAGGAAGAAACATTTTTAAAGAGTCAGATGTGGCTGCAAAAGGACCTCTCCGATAAACTCTGATCAGAGGAGGACCGATCCATGAGCTGGAAGGAAGGAACCAAATCAATCCATAAACACTTGGTAAAAGCTGACTGTGCTGAGTGCGAGAGATACAGAAAGAGGCAAACAAACAAAAAACAACCTCAAGAAGCTTATAATCTCCACACCAAAGACTGAAATGGATTTTTGAAAACAGGGAAGGGAAGAAGCATTTATTCAGTGCCACTGTGCACTAGGCACTGTG